CAGCCAGCCAAAGATTTAACATTCGCTTACGAACGGGTAACGAAGCAATTTTGGTTTTCTGGACATGCGACATAGCATATAGCCTAAATATAACTGATATAAATACCGGTACTGTATATAAATTTAAAATAAACCCTTGTAGTTGACACTCAAATTTTGGGCGCCAAGTCAGTTGCAAATTGCCCGCGTTGATTGGTAGTTGCTCCTGCCAATTACCGAAGGAATATTGCAACATTGCTGAGCAATGTTGCAATATTGAAGGGAAAGGAACATCCGGTTTGGCTGTAATAAGTGCCGATAATATTTAGACGGTATATTCATTATACAGAGCTAGGAAGGAGCTAGACCGCCTAGACAGTGCAGTTAAGTGTATAAACATTTCAGACGTAAATATTGAGTCGAAAATCTTGCTTCTAGGCTTGAGTGCCGATATTATTTTTTCACGGCATACTCATTATACAGAGGTACAGTACGTGCAGGCAGAAGCGAGACTGTTGTTTTCAAGTATATAAACATTTCAGACATGAATATTGAGAAAATATTTGAGATTCTACGCAATAATAGTAATACAATATATAAATTGATGTGATGCATTACCGTCGATATTATTTAGACCGTGTATTCATTATACATTCTCATTGACTGTATAAGGTGCTACATCACAGAATAGATGGCTATTGAAATCTAAGACCCCGTTTACACGGTACCGGACGAATTTGGGACCGGACGAAAATTCGTCCTTTTTCGCCTGTTTACACGCGAATTCGTCCTGTTAGGGGGTCTCAAATTCGTCCGGTTCCGTGGTTCTCGTGTGTTTACACGGCCGAAATGGACGAATTTTCATCCGGTCACAAATTCGTCCGGTACCGTGTAAACGGGGTCTAAAGTGATATTTATATTCAACACATACGAAAAGCTGAAAATAGACACACGTCACACTGGGAAAAGTCAAAGGTCAATGAAACTTGTTATTGTGAAACATGTCACAATTAAGTTAAAATGCGGAAGCGGATGCAGCGGATTCACGGAACGGATATGCGGATAAAATACGGAATGGATGAGGATAAAATGCGTCTTTTAATGATGTAACGACGTAGTGCTTATTATTCATAACATATCTTATACAGCTATTTCAATTATAGTTTATTAGATAAATTTAGCATAGCAGTAGCCTGGTGGGGATGCTTTCAGCGACAGCTGCAAATGCAAATGAAAATTTAGAATATGCAAAATTTGGTTGTTGGTGACACAATAAATAGATGAATTGCATCAGTTTCACAAGGCATGTTTCTGATGTGTTAGGCTTGTTTCAAACGTCACGCTACTCGTGTGCCGAGCGTATTAAAAGCAATAAATAATGAGATGAAATGCCTTTGGTAACTGTTTATTTCGTAGTGTAAGCCATCAAGCTTTTCTAGGTTGTCGGCGACCCTATATAGTTCTTGCAGTTTGAAACTTCACACTATCCTTGGATCCCTAGTTTTAATTTTAGTATACCTTTCCCGGGAATATACTTTTTTTGCTAAGATAAAAAATTAGTCTATAATGGAAATTGTCTATTGGTCCCCATTATCTATTTTTGTTTCTCTAAATAAAGAGCTAGAGAGTTTTTGTTTCTCTAAATAAAGATAAAAAGCTAGAGGGGGGAACCAAAATTTATGTTCTTGTTTTGCCTGTGGGGGTGGGGCTTTGAAAATGTTACTTGTCTTAAGATGGGGGCAACGAAAAAAATATTATAACTGTAGAGTTTCTCCTCAGTCTCCCCCTGTACAATAAATAATGAGCAGTCCCTTACCTCAAAATTTCGCAACAGTCTGTTTCATCAGTAAAGAATCATCAGGCGCCTGATATATATATATATATATCTATATATTGCAATCAGTGCTCCCATCATGCTTTGCGCGCTTAGGGTTTAAGGTTTAAGGTTTTAAAGTTTAAGGTTTGCGAAGGACAACCTTTATTGAATTAGCTGTATATATATATATATATATATATATATATATATATATATATATATATATATATATATATATATATATATATATATATATATATATATATATATATATATATATATATATATATATATATATATATATATAACTATAAATAAGAACTATAAATAAGAGTTACTTTCATCCTGCTCATCAGCACTACACTGATGAGGCCCATTAGGCCGAAACGGTACCGTCTGTAGTTAGATATCGCTCTATGGCCTTTAGGTCATATTGAGCGCTCTACAGGATGAGCCATGCCGCTTACGCATTGCGCACGCTCACCGCTTGCAGTTTGAGCGCTCTGGCATGGTTTTGATGTCCCACAATCGTGAGGCATCAAAGGTAACTATAAATAAGAGTTACTTTCATCCTGCTCATCAGCACTACACTGATGAGGCCCATTAGGCCGAAACGGCGGTACCGTCTGTAGTTATATATATATATATATATATATATATATATATATATATATATATATATATATATATATATATATATATATATATATATATATATATATATATATATATATATATATATATATATATTGAACTAAAATTGAACTAATAAAGCACATTCAAGTTCAAGCCCCAAAACTGACTAATTTTAAATCGAAAACGATAAGAAGCACTTCTTACAGAAGTTTGGACAAAATTTAACTGACATTACTTCCAGTATTTTAAACAGTTTTTCGGCAACTTTAGCTAAATTTCAAGCGCCAGAAAAAGCATGCACGTGACGTCACTGAGTACATGTTAGGAGAATTTTAACGTCGATCTTTTGAGTAAAATTGTTTACTATGTAATATCTTCTATTTATATTGTAAAATAAATAAAAAACTCGTCTCGTGTGTTTATTGTGCGATAATGTTACCCCTCGTGTTTTACACGCTTCTCTCGTATTCTCACACTGAACATTCCCCTCGTGCTTTATCACACCATGAACGCACGCGACTCGATCGTTTTCTATTTCTTAAATAATCATCCATATGAACACACCCACTATATAATCAGACATTTCTCACTTCCTTCTTATTCAGACATTTACTGAACATTTAATTATATCTCTATTATATGTCTACGACTTTAATTTGTCATCGTTGTCTTTGGATTTGTTTAATTTTCTTTCAGAGAATGTAATAATTATATATATATGAATAATAGCATTTATATCAATATATAATCCTATATTGAGTCTCAGAATACTATATTTCCGGCATATATGATTTACTCTATATAAAATTAAGTAGTAAACAACAAGACAAACATCGTATCATCACTCTTCGTATTCGTACCACCACTAACAGATCCCGTTCCAGAGATAGCCAGATATTTTGATGGATATGACTCAGAGCGAATTGAGAAAAATCCAGTAATTACTCGCAATTCACTGAACACTGCTTCTTTCGTTTCATTTACCTAGAAAAAAGATTAAATTTTGAGTACATTTCGAATAGTTTACCTTTAATAAAGCTAATAACTTTGAGATGGAGTGAAGGACCTTTCACATTTGTTACATGCAGCTAGACCCAGACGAGAGTAGTTCATATTATAGACTCAGACAGATCTAGAAAAAAAGTGGGATCCTGGATAGCTCGATTTTTTGCCTTAGCAAGCAGATTAGAGAATATTTCGAATTTACTCAATATAAGTTAAGGGAGAATCATAAAGAATCATTATTATTAAGAGGCAATTTTTTTCAACGTCGCGTATTTGCAATGAAAAGTGTTCAAAACCTAAAATCTTTTTGGCGTTTCTCTCAAAATTTGTTTTAGCTTTATTTTGTAGTTAAGGCAGTTAGCAACCTTTTTGAATGTATCTGGCGGTTGAGAAACACAAAGTAATAGTTAAATATTGTCAATTTAAACACAATTATCATTGCTGTAAAATTGGTAGCCTGCGAACAGGCTCTTTGAATTGAATTAGAGCCTGCCGATTTAGTCAATGCAAATCCGTCTAGAATATTGCTAAGAGCTTTTGACTGCCCATCCTTTAACTTTAAACAAAAATTTAGTTTTCTATACAACTCGTCTAATACATTTTTTATCGCTATAGAACGATATTTTTCGATTTCCGCGCTTTGTTTTGACATCTTGAATCTATTGTTGTGTAAATTTCATTACCTTTTATGGCAGTATGATGTAGTTAATAACCAACTACTCGGTTTCAACCAATGGGAACCCTGCGTCGTTCTAAGCAACGCCATAGACGCATTTTTATTAGCTAGGCCTGCAGGCTCTCTCTCAAATTTCAAAGAGAGTTCAAAGAGAGCCTGTTCGCAGCCTATAAAATTGGCGCCATATTTATATACAGCAATATAAGCAAAACTTACTGAACTTCAGACATCATTTTCTTTATGGGTATTATCTAAAATCTCTTCATTTTAGCATTATTTTATTCGAATATAGTCATAACCAAGTGGAAAGGTAGTTTTGAGCGTGACATACAAAAGATTCTCCTCTTAATATCATATACTTCCTTATCTGCCGTTTGTGACATAAATACAGACAAGTATATATACTTTGTTGTTGCGTACATAATGGCGTAATGCACTGTCGAATTTTCCATTGTTTTTACGCATTTTGAGGATCATTCAGAGAAGCAAATTCAGGATCCGAGGAACATTGAACACTCTTTCCAGGTCTGGACTGAGACACGGAAAGCTAACATTTGTTTAAAAGAATCCATGCAGGCATAAATTGTCTGTAAATTGTAAACATTGTCATTCTCTATGAAAATGTTACAATTTACAGAGTGTGTATATTGTTTCGTGTTTAATTAAAGTTTATATAGTTATAGTAACCAATTGCTTTCTACGATGATGGTCCTTCAGCAGAGATGGACAATGTAAAGCACTAGCTTAATCCACTGAATATATTATAATAGCTATAGACATGAAACCACTTAACTATTTCTACAGAGTCCAAATTCGTAAAAGGCCTGCATGGCGGTTACCATTATCCTTGGTATACAGCTATTTCAATTAAGGTTGTCCCCGAGCAAAGCGGAAAAGTTGAATACGAGCGCGAAAGAATGCTGGGAATCGCTAATAAATTCATTATTTTTTTAGCGATTTCCAGCAGCCTTTCGCGCTCGTATTCCATGAAATAGCTGCATGTATATACGAAGGGTATTAAATGGTGCAATTGCCATGCAGGTCTTTTAAGAATTTGGATTCTGTAGGCATAGATGAAGTGTATTTTTCATTCCCTTACAAAACCTCAACTTTTGGCTCTGAACAGTTCAAAAGCGAAAACAAGCACTTACCACTAAATAAACTTTCCCGGTGCTGTCCATTGCCAGGTATTTATCCATCTTCACTGCTTTTATTGTAATCTCTGAGTTAAATCCAACTGTGCGTATCGATAGTTTAGCTGCAATGGAAAAGGAGAGAGATATTTACATAATCTACTAGTATCAACTATACACCCTGATATACCAAGTGAACAAAGAATTGTTTTAAATCGTTGGACATTTTGTCTCATTTGATTCAGTAATGAAGAGATATATAATAGTGTCAGCCTGTAAAAGATTCAAAACACCTCGAAGTCCCTTTGGCTTAATTTTTGTTAGGAAATTTAGTAGGGGCATGCATGCAGATAATATCTGGAACTGTCGGTGCCAGAACGTCGACCTTTCGAGTGAAGGTCCTAGCTGCCCGACGAGGGCCGTCGCTCGAAACGTCGAAGTTCTGTTTACAATTTTCAGGTAGTTGTTCATCATTCACACCGCATCACGCAAATAGTCTTATCAGTAACTTCCTCAACCAAGTTCCTGAAGAAGTCAAAAAAGGTCCTCGCTCTTAACGTCGAAGTGTTTACCAATCGATATAATTCCCAAATTCATGAATAATTCATAGAAAATTAGAACCCTAGCTATTGTTGTCGTAACCAATGTTGGCAAATTAAGTCTACTTTCATGTTAAATTTTTACTTAAATTAAATACTGGTTTGTTTGAGAAGTTATATGATGCACCCCAAGTTGTTTATTATAGTGATTTCCAAAACTCATTAACAAACAATTCATGAGTAAAACCCACGGAAATCATCACCGTATATCGTTGTTTTAGTGTCACCACTGTAATAGATATCCATGTCAATTAAGTCAAATTTCATGTTAAATTTCTCTTTGACTTTGAATACACTGGTTTGTATGGGAAGTTAAAGTGGAAGTCAAGTCCGTTCTGCGCATCGGTTCTGCTCATAACAATGTGAGGACCTCTAATGTGAACATTGCCCAAATTTCGAATGTTTCGAATTTTTCTGAACATAAACTCTATTTCAAATTCATTTAGAAGCATAGCGAACCAAATGTGTTAGATATTCAGACAATACATCATATTTTAAAAAATACAGCAGTTCAAAATGTAAACAAACCGTTTGTTTACATTACGGACTTGACTTCCACTTTAAATTATACACTCCATTGGCAAGTTTATTTATTATTAATAGTGATTTTAATTAAAACACCTCAATATATTGGTCGAAATACTCGATCAACTCAATCTTCGTTTTGCAAATCGCCATTATATAATAGGTAGCTACAATGTGTGATTTAACTTCTAAAACCGGCCAGTATTTTAAAAAGAAATTGAACGTGAAAATTAAATCGTTGGTAGGGATGCAACTACCTGAAAAATATAAGGATAATTTCAAATTTCCTCATCATATTTTCCAGGTAGCTAGTTGCATCCCTACCAACGAAAGCTTGTTAATTTTTAATTACCGTCCACCCGTGATTTTCTTTGGGTTTTGTTTAATGTGGTTGAGAGTGATAATCTCTAGATATGTTACTAAACTGTCAAATCTCAAGTTTCTTACCGTACGGGCTATATGAATATTCTCCAGTTATTCCTTGCTTGCCGATGGTGAGATGTCTGCCTGATTTACTGACGACAGTCCGATTCATATACGTACCGCTTAATGTATGTGACTTTGCCTCTATTGTACTGCTTAGTTCATACACTAGGAACAGAGTTAGAAGTAGAACCATTCTTATGTTCCACAGTGGAGGAGTGTACAGGAATGTACGAGTTGAAGACAAAGAATTTTTTATTTGTGAAACCATTTTAATGATGAATTCTATTTGTCGTTTTGTGGCTCTTTAATCCTTCAAGCTTCTTCAAATTGATAATCTTGATTTCTTCTTGGAATATATCTCGATGTGTCTTTTTTTGTTTGTCCTTGGACTGTTCTCTTGGTGTACTAGTGAAATGAACTAACTACAAACCCTCTTTCACCTCTTATATCAGCTAACGGCCAATAATTTAATCCATATTTAGGGACAATAATTTAATCCTACGCACTCTATGGGTAACGTCAGCGTGCTTTGGGATTTCGGAAGTGCACTGCGTGTGATTTCAATTTTCTTACGTGTTACCCTCGTACAAGAACTGTACTTCTATACAGTCATTGTACTCTAAATACGTCAAAAAGATTTCAGATAATAATTATTTTTAGCCATAGCCAATAAACCTAATACGTGTTTTTGGCCAGAACTCGCCTATGCTATGTAGTTACATAGAATATAAATACTGTAAAATAACGTGGTGCTGCATGATGGGAACAATTTTATCCCAATTTTAATCAAATTGCAATTTCTTCCGCTTAGCCTTAAGTGTCACTAACCCTAAATAAATTCGGGTCATTCGAAGAAATGTGATATATAGTAAAACCCTCATCTTGATTAACTTTTTTCACTGTCGAGTGTCGAGTTTCCAGATCTGATATGTCCTTGAGAATGAATTGGAACCACAAACGAAGAAAAACTAGTTTGCGATTCATTTAATGACATCATATCCCGGAAACTTTGACAGTGAAAAAGTTGATCAAAATTATTTTTGTTTACTATGTAAAAGATATATTTAATTTTTTCTCAGAATGACCCCAACATTTCACATGCTAAAAATCAGATTGCGAGTTAGTGGCAGTTTTAAATACTTAATTAGCTAGCTGGCTGAGGAACTTTTTAGCAACGAAAAATGCCCCGTTGCCCGTTGGTCAAAAAATACACAGTAGGACGTATCTTTCGCAGTCTAGGTGTCTCAGTTGGACAGATGCTACCATTACATGCAGTATGCAGTTAATTTTATGACCACTCACGCACGTAGTTAATCTCATTGAAAAACTTCCTTCAAAGTGATAAGTGTCGATGATCTCATAAGTCTGCAATGATCTTCCTGGTCAGTAGCGTAGCCAGCCAGACGATTTAGTTCCGCTATGCAAATATTTTCATGTTCATTGACTGTGAAAACAATCCATTTCTAAAGAAATGAATAATGATAATTTTAAATTTGCATAGCGGGACTAAATTGTCGGGCTGGCTACGTGTGCTGTTTATTTCTAGTGAAAAGAACTAATATTATTTTCTCACTCTGACAACTGCAGGTTGACCACCATCTCTGAACCGAAATTGTTCTATAGCGTGAGTAAGCTGTTTCCCCTGTGCATGCAAAAAAGTTAAAAACCTATAAATCATTCAATATAACAAGTATAAATTATGTAACCAGTTTTGAAAATAAACACGACTGCATGAAACTTCTACTGGCTATGGGATATAGTCATTTTTGTTCAAACATTAGACTACGTTAAACGCGCGTATAAAAATATTCCTCGAAACGTAGTGCATAAATCATAATTTTCCCGTACAAAGTTCACAGGAACGGTTCTGTCAGTATGCGCAGCACCAATTTATGGCCCCAAAACAATGCGATGCCATAAGTTAGCGTAATTATCTGATGGAAGCAAAGTTCTCCCATAAATCTGGGGTTATTTACCTGTAATTTCGCTGTATCTTGAAAAATATACACACACTGTGTAGCAGCAAAAGTCTAAGTGGTACCATATTAAGCAGAAACCCTTTTCTAAGCGGTTCGATTAACGACCATAAAATTCATAATTAAATTAATGACTGTAACTGACTTTTATTAAACGATCATCTTTCCAAACCCACTGTCTCACTGTTCTGAACTAGACGCGAGAAATCCTCAGTATCAGGACCGCTACAAAAAATTAATTGCAATGTCTTATCTTTTCGGATAAAATTAGTGCATTATTTTCCAAAGGCTAAGACTAGTAATGTTTTTTTTTTAATCTCATCAAAAACCATTTAGACATCAAACAAAAGATGATAATGCTTATTCTGTATTCCATTACACCTCGTTAATTTTAGATAAGGTCAGCATTACAGTCTGCCATTAGAGAGTTTACGATTCACGACGCGGCTAGAGAAGACGCGTTAAAGAGGCTTGGTAACTAGAGCGGCCAACACGTGTTGTGTAATTCCAACGCGTAGTCGACGATTCTACGTCGGAATTTTGTCAATTTTACGTTGCGATCACTACGCTGCGAATTTCAAGTGATTGAAACAAAATTAAACGATTAAACACCACAGAAGATGTAATCAAAGGCTGTACAACAGCAGCCGGTTCATTTTCCATTTAAATTTGCTTTTTCAATTTTGAGATGACACAAATATGTCAAGCATTGGTAATTCACCTGCGGACATAGAAGTGAAACTAAATAACGATTTGTATAACGTCAATAACTGGTTAATAGCAAACAAGCTTACTTTAAACGATAAAAAACTGAATTTATGCTGATAGCCTCTAAACGAAAATTGAAACAATTCTCATATGACCCATGTATACTGATTGGTAATCATAACATCAAACAGGTGATCAATAAGAAAGTACTGGGAATTACTTTAGACGATGAACTGAGATGGCATAAACACAATGATCTTCAATGCAAAAAACTATCCAAGAGCATTACCTTACTAAGACGATCCAAACGATTTGTTAACCAAAACGTATTAATTAACATGTACAACTCACTAGTCTTACCTCACTTTACCTATTGCTCCAACGTGTGGAATGACGGCAGTCGTACACATACAGACAAGCTTTTAAAAATGCAAAAACGAGCGGCTCGAATTATCACAGGGTCAACTTACGAAGTAAGATCGAAAGATATATTTAATATCTTACACTGGGAACCATTTGAAACCACTCTTAAG